GAAAGAGAAGTGGGTCATGACTAGCGAGGAGCTAGGGAAGCACGGAAAAGGGAGGGGCCATCAGGAATACAAGGTGCGGAGAGGAGAGACCAAAAGGGAAGGAGGGAAAAGCTCCAGAACTGAGGAAGAATAAGGACAAGAAAACACTATCGCGCATGTGCGTAACTGGTCCCATTCTTCACATTCCATCCTTTTCATCTCCTTGTGTCTTTCTTCTACAAAGGACTGTAGAAGCTTAAGTTTTTATCAGTCAAATCTCTTATCTCCTCACCCAAGTAGGTCTACAGTGAAAAACAACATCAAATGACTTTTCAAAACGAGTGAGTGTAACATCTTTGCTTCAGCCATTGTCTGAGCAATCTCAGATGCTTAGGATGCCCCCTCACTCCCACACTCACGTGAGCTTTAAACATTTCTAACTTCAAACAGCACCACCACCTTCACATGTGCCTGATAAACTCGATAAACTCAGAGTCTTAAGGGACTGCTATTACCCAATCCTCAGGGGCCACCTCAGTCCATCCCCGCTGTGTCCTACATGTTCCCACTCCTCTCAAACTCCCCCGCCCCGCCCCCCGGGCAGCCATGAACAGACTTTCATACTGTACCTTCCGTATGTACCCGAGAGCTCACTGCGCTAACATTCCTGGCCTTGGACCTGGACTCCCACAGCAACCCCCAAAGCTCCCTCTCCACTCAGCACAGCGCACCCCTGGCAGACTGAACCGAGCGGCTCAGAGTCTCCAGAGCAAACCGCGAGGTGCTGACTGTGGGTCCACTGTCCCCTGCAAGGCCCTCCCCTGCCCCCCCTCCAGACAGCGTGTTCCTGCCTCGTTCTCGAACGTGCCGGGTGTGCTTTTCACCTGATATCCAAAAGGCTCAGCTCCTCACTTCACCAAGGTCTCCGCTCAAGTGGGACTTAGCAGGCCTTTCCGCGCCCCTTACAAAGGACAGCAAGCACCCCAGCCTGGGTAGCCCCGACCTTCAGACCTCAGCACACATGCCACCACTGGACACATACGGATTTACAGCTGGTCTCTCTCTTAAAACATAAGCCTTGTGAGGAGGGACCTTGTGTTCTTCATATGGCTCCTGACACATTATAAGCACTCAACAAACAGTGCTGAAAAAATGAAAGAGCAGATCATGAAAGCGCATAAAATCTCCAAGCACACTTTCTTAGCATATTTTAAAATACAGGTGAGGAACGTACAGTCAATGTGTGTCACAGAGCCAGGCTTCTCTTAATTTCACTCAACCTAAAGGGCAAATGTCCAGCGGGAGGTCACCCTCATTGGCAAAAGCACAGGCACTCTAAGTTTTTTCTAGCAATGCCTTTCGGAAGTCACAAGATGGGGACCTGCTTCATGAGAGCTCTGCTGGTAGGATCTGTGGGTTTGTGAGTGAGTCTCTATCTGTGTGCACACCTACCTCTTCACCTTCTTTAAGGGCCATAACAACAGGATGCATATGGAAGATCCAATGTATTATCTGATCAAGCCTTCAAGATAAAAAAGTCACCAGCCCTACTCTAGGTTATGTACCAACTGGTTTTAATATGCTTGTGTTTTACGCGAACAGTTTGATGGAAACTGAATATGTAATCATTAACTCGTCATTTCAGAGCTGTTTGAACGTGTTTTCAGGGTATTTATGTTGCCCTTTCGTATTAAGGTTCTACTTGCTTGTAATTCAAGTGTTCCATATTCCATCACAGAAGAATTCCATTGTATAGTATTGAGAACTCTTAGAACAGTATCTACATTTACAGAGTTTTCGGAGCTCTATTAAGCTGTATTCCTGTTTTCTAAGGCGATTCCTGAAAAACGCGAACAGATTGATGGGAACTGAAAATGTAAACAGTATACTCTTCATTTCTGAACTCTTTGAACATGATTTCAGTGTATTTAAGTTGCCCGTTTTGTATTAAAGTTCTATTTGCTTGGGAAAAAAAAATATGCTTGTGTTTTAAAATAGGGAAGTGTCAAACTCTAGCTTGACCAAAACCAAGCAACCAACCAACTTTTTAAAAGAATAACTCGATTTCCTCTCTCTTTCCATGAAACCTGGGAAAATCATCACCATTCTCTATGGAACCCCAGCTTACTAAAATCAAACCTTTCTGTACAATCTGAAGCTTAGAGGCTCTTTGCGTTGCCGATGGAAGCCACAGCCGGTCTGTTCACGTGACTGAGCCCCTGTCCCCCGAGCAGCAGGAGGTCACACAGGGAGAAGCAAACACCCAATGACCTGACCACAAGGCCCGCTCGGCCAGAGCTTACCACTTCATCCTCGGTCCAGCACTTTTCGATCAGCTTAGGCACGGGCTTCTTGACCAGGCGCTGCAGGGCTTTGCCGGCATCATATCCGCTTTCGTGTAGCTAAACAACAACAGTTTTAGTTAGTTAACTGAACAAAGAACAGCGGGAAGCACATCAACAAAGGGAAGCCCCGCGTTTACTCGACTAGCAGGACTGCTAACTGGGCACAGACTCAGTCATCTCAGTCAGCAGGATCGTTTGCTCCCACTCAGCCACCCTTCCAGGTCCAGCTGTTCTGAGGGTGACAGGTAGGGCAGGGAGCCTCTGGGCAATGACAGGAATAGAATTAAGAACAATAACAAATATTTACTAAACTGCTGGCCAGGCACAGTGTTAAGCACATCCCGTGCACTCATTATTTTTCTTAATCCTACAAGGAAGGTATTCTCGCATTTAATCTTACGGGATGGGCACTATTATCATCCCATTTCACAGATGAGGACACTAAGGCAAAGAAAGGTCGAGTAAAGGTGCTCACCACACTAAGCCAGTAGGCAATAGAGCCAAGAGACTCAAACCCAGCTAGGGTGATCCTTACTCTGTCCCATTCTCCCCAAAGCAGCCTAACAACATTCTAGAATCTAGAGTCTAGAACAGGGCAAACTTTTTGACTCGAGGGCCACAATGGGTTCTTAAACTGGACCGGAGGGCTGGAACAAAAGCATGGATGGAGTGTTTGTGTGAACTAATATAAATTCAAAGTAAACATCATTACATAAAGGGTACGGTCTTTTTTTTTTTTTTTTAGTTTTATTCATTTCAAACGGGCCGGATTCGGCCCGTGGGCCGTAGTTGCCCACGGCTGGTCTAGAATCAGTGATGGTGAACCTATGACACCTCTGACACGCGAACTCATTTTTTTGGTTGATTTTTCTTTGTGAAATGGCATTTAAATATATAAAATAAATATCAAAAATATAAATCTTTGTTTTACTATGGTTGCAAATATCAAAAAATTTCTATATGTGACACGGCACCCGAGTAAAGTTCAGGTTTTTCAAAATGCTGACATGCTGAGCTCAAAAGGTTCGCCATCACTGGTTTAGATTATGCTCTTTCTCTTAAGTCTTTAAACTGCAGTAATTTCTCTAAAAAAATTTCAGGTACCTAAAATGTCAGAGCTTTTTAAAGAAACAATTCTGTAACCGTATACTAACATTTCAGTACATATGAATGAAGATGCCAGTTTATCTACACATTCTAATGAACTTTCCTCACTCCATATCCTTTTTGAGCCCAGGCAGTGCCTGGAGCCATGGACCCCTCTGTCTCTGGCTTGCTTCCTGTGACCCCACCCACTCCTGGTCCCTGAGTGTCAGCTTGCAGACAGTGGAGAGAAGGGGCAGGCAGGAAGATCCTCGTGCTCAATCTACCTTTCCACATTGCGGCCATTCCTCCAAAACCCTCACTGGAAATCTGATCTATTTCTCTGATACAAGAGTCTGTCTTGGCTAAGACTTGTACCTCTGATGCCTAGTAGTCTGCAGCATAAGGTGATCCAGAAGAAATACTCGTTAAATTCATCACTAAATGCCTTTAACTAGTGTCCCTAGGTAGCCTGAACCCAAATCTAAACTTCCATTTACTTGAATTCATTCTGCCCTCTGTTGACCGAGCGGCTATTACACCCAGGCACTGTACTAGACCCCCTGGGGACGCGGCAGCAAATGAAAGAGGCAGAGGCATCCCTGCCCTCAGGGAGTGGAACTCTGATCTCTTCCAGTGCTTCACAACCTTATTTGAACAAACCACTGGTATTTGCGGAATACTCAGTACAAATAAGTCACAAACCTTATTAGGTCACAGTTTTTATTTCCAGAAAACTCACAAACTAGTGGGGATGTTATGAGGATACAACACATACAGGATGACAATATCAAGTAGGCTGTAGGAACTACTATCATCGAGGTGTAGGCCAAGAGCTGTGGCCTCCCAAAAGGAGAGAGCCCTGAGTTTCTTGTCTTTAGTAGAAGAGTCTTAGAAGGGTGTACAGACTGCCTTACTAGTGCCAGGGCTGGGCCAAAGCCTGCGATCAATATTTGCTGAATGAAATAAACATTTTACAAATACTCATTCATGGAAACAGAATGTTTTATATATTAAAATGTCCAGAGCATTCTCACAGTTTAGAGGTCCCCAATTTATTTTAAATCCAGACTGTGCAAAGAAGTCAAGGCTATATGTTAATTATAACAACAAGTCGACTACCTTAAAACAAGACAAAACGCGAATGCTGGATCTTGCTTTGGTGGCGGTACAGTGCACCGGGATGAGGGAGCAAGGAAATGGATGCTAGGTATTAGCTTATGTATTTTTATAAAATTTAGCATTAGACTACTTTGAAAAGAATATACTATACTAAACAAACAAACTAAATACTCAAAGTTCTGTATTTTGCAAATGCTTGAAAACTATCTAGTCTTCTTTCATGTAAAATAAAGTTAGATTTTTATGGTCTGCCTAATATCCAGACCAAGCAAGTATGTGCCAAATCCTATAATATAATGATCTATAAAGAGAGCTCAATTGGAACTCGTGATTGGAACTGAATAAAAGGAAAAATTGCATGCCTATTTTCATTTTTTTATAAAGCACACATTTTAGTGATAATCTGAAATCAATTCAAGTTGATCAAATTATAAATTCTTAATAAAAAGCTCATGGCAAACAAACATTTTACAAAAGGTAATTACAGTATATGGGGTAATTACAAGGAGTGATGAAAACCTGGACTTTGGAGCCAGAATATGGATTCAAATTCTAGCTCTACTGCTTACCAGGTGTGTGACCTCGGCAAGTTACTTATCCCTCTTTGGGCCCCAATTTTGTCACTTTTAAAAATTAGTGTAATGATAGACCTAGCTCTCAGGGCTCTTGTGAGGATACCAACTGCATGTAAATTGCTAGGACTGTATAGCACAGAGTATGTTAAGTGAGTGTTGCCATGTATTTTTTATAGGAAAGAGAAAAAAGAAAGGGAGTGGTCTCATATCGATTTTCATCCATTTTCTAGAGTAGCCTTCTCAGATATAGAGAAAGTACTGTGTCCAGGTGGTGTGGCTCAGTGGTTGAGAGTCAACCCATGAACCAGGAGATCACGGTCCAATGCCCCGGTTACTGGCTCAATCCCCACTGTGGGGCGTGCAGGAGGCAACTGATCAATGATTGTCTCTCATCGTTGATGTTTCTCTCTCTCCCCCTCTCCCTTCCTTTCTCTGAAATCAATAATAATAATAAAAATACACATATTAAAAAAGAATTGTTAAACTATAAACAAAAACCACTTATGTTTCACCTAATTACTCATGTTAATAATTTACAAAATTTGATTAAAACTCTGGTTCAGCACACAGAAATTTTTAAAAATTTTAAACCTTCTATGGCTGATAATAGGAAAGTACTAATGAGAACATAAATGCCATTGCAAAAGTGAACGAGTGACTTAAGTGCAACCCAATGTCATTGCTCCCGCTGACATGCCTGCCTCTCAGTGAATGCAGAGCTGTAAGCGATAGCTTGGAGAAAGGTTCTGAGTAACTTGCTGCGCGTGTGTCTGTGGTTGTCCCATGTAGCAGAGAGGCTGACTCCTGCTGGCAGGACCCCTTCCGTTAAATTTCTAGTGAGGTGCTTACTAGTCTTAGAGAAAGAGGCATTTCCTCCTAAACATAGCCCAGCACGCCCGCCTTCTTTACAAATCTTGATTTGAGATCACACTTTCCCTTGAAGAAGCTGCTGCAATGTCTGCGGTAACCTGAGCTTCCTTCCGCTACTCTGATCTCTAAATAGTGGAAACTCCACCCTTTTATTTGATCTACCGTCCTATTAAAATAGTCCTATTTCTGAAAATATTATATTCCATAACATAAACCCAGTAAATCCTTAGAGTGTCTACTGCTCCCACTTCTACACAAAGACACATTTGAAAAGGAAAAGGAGTGCTGACCAACAGGGATGAGATCTGCATGGAACACACACAGGCAGGGACCACTGTGCTGTCAGCCATCACGCAGCGAGGCCAGCACGAAAGCTCAGTCACGGGCTTGCCGGCATGCCCTCTTCCTCTTACAAGGGAACCAAATGGAACCTTTCTAAATAGTCACCTCCTTCTTCCTTTTGTGTAAAAATACATACATATATTTTTAATCCTCACCCGAGGATATGTTTATTAATTTTACAGAGAGGAAGGAAGAGAGAGAAACAGCGATCAGTTGACTCCCATAAGCACCCCAACGGGGGATTGAACTTGCAACCTAGGTATGTGTCCTGACCTGGAATCAAACCGCAGCCTTTCTGTTGTATGGATGATGCTCCAGCCAGCTGAGATACCTGGCCAGGGCCGTCACCTTCTTCTTAATGTTAAAAACATTTCTTTCCTCTTTCCAGCAATCCTGGCTGAGGAAATTCTGAGAGCTTTACAGAAATACCTTAGTTATATTTTACTAAACATATGCGTTTTACATACTAAAGGTTTTATGGTCCACATAGCTTCACACGAATAAAGATTATCTGTTAAGCACTTTGGGGAGATTACTGGAGTTCAGGATATCCTTCAAGCTTCCCACAAATATTCATTGAGTGTCACACTGTTCCAGATACTATTCTAGGTCCTGGGGATAGACACAGCTGTGAACATCAGAAATGCAAAAACGGAGACGGGTAACCTGTGAGCAGCTGTTTAAAGCAGCAGTTGCCAACCTTTCGGACCTCATGGACCACTGGTTGGCGACCGCTGGTTTAAAGTACTGGTTTCGTATGACATCTAACTAGATGTCAGATCCACACACTAGGTTCCTAAAAGGCTGGGTTTACCTACTGTCTTTGCTTGATGCGTCAGGCACAAGGAGTTTGTTTTCTATGTGATTGTGAAGATTTTCGTTCTTTAGACTAGGGCCCAAACAATGTTTGAGGAAGAGCTAAGCCCGATATTTCAACTCTACTCTTCATGTAAATTCGAGTTTGCTGTTTACCTAATACCAGCTCTTAAATCTGCAAAAATTGTCATTAAAAACATTCCCCTCTAATACAGCATCTAGCTCTGAAGAATTAGTATAATTTCATCT